ATACACACATTTTTGCCCACGAGTACAAGCTTGCTTATCCTAGTTGCGTAGAACTCTGGAGATTTAGAAGCGATGAATTCGAGGAAAGTCGACTTGACATTGTGTCGATTGTTCAAGCGTTTCTCTCAAAGGAAGTTTTCGAGTTGCTTAAAAAAGTGGTAGTCCGTTGGAGCGAGGTCAGTTGAGTACGGTGGGTGTGGCAGAGCTTCATAGCCAAGCTCTCTCAATTTCTTCAAGGTGGTCTGTGTGACTGAGCACGCGCTGTCGTGAATAAGGATGGGCCCCTTCCTGTTCACCAATCCAGGGCTCATGAGCTGCAGCTTCTGGTGCATTTCGTCGATATCCTGACAGTATCTTTTAGCTGTGATAGTTTCGCCCGGATCCAAAAAGCTACGATGAATTAAACCAGCCGTTGACCACCAAATTCCCACCATCAACGTCTTCGAGACTCTCGTCGCCGTTACGGCCAAGTTGTGAATAAGTTTCAGCATCCACGTTGAGCTTGAGCGATGAACTTCGGTGCCTGCCTCTGCTTACTTCGACCTTACTTGAACCTCGTCTCGAGAAGGACTCATCTGGAGGAGTAAGAGTGCTTGCATATTCACGGCTTCAGGCCAGTTAACATCAACACTCATCCACTACTCAATACCCTTACTGCCTTGATTTTCTGGCAAACCCTCAATTTTTTCAGGATGGTACTCTTCTCTACGAAAACAACCTGCCTTTTTCTTTCAAAGCCCACTGCATCCCATGCAGGGATGACAACGTAAACCCTGAACCGAAAACTTGAACTCATGGACGCAAGTGACAGGAATAAGACACTCTGCTAATCGCAGTTCTTAATTGTCCCAATGTACAGTTTTTCAAAGCTTTTTCCTTTTCCACATTTCACTAAACATTTTCAAAACGTCAATTTACTTCAGTGGATCAGAGCAACTGCAGTAAATGTGAAAATCGCATGCCAGGGCATAGGTGTGGTAGAGTGGCAATTGGACCGCTATAACACTACATGGTCTTCGCGGTTCAAATCCCAGACCGAGACCCACTAGGCCAACCAAGCTTCTCCATCTCCGCCGTAGTGGCGATTAGTTGGTACCAGACTCGTCTGGGTGGGCAAAAACACTGAGTGGTACAACGGCTGACCAGCGCAACCCACTGTATACGCATTCACCACCACTGAGATTCCGAATGGAAGCCTAGTGTGAGGCGCATCTCAAGAACAAGATTGGTTAACCTCAAAGAACGGTCTTTCCGATCAGATAAGCCTTCTAGCGCTAGCTGCATTTGTAACCAACAAAAGGTACATCCGTTGACTTAGCTCCTTTATCGACAACCATATAAACAAATGATCGAAAAAACATCAATTACAAGTAAACCAGTGCTAGTGAAGGGATTTTACAAAGCAGCATTTGGGCGACAAAACGCAGAAAAAAGAACTCTCGTATAGTACAATTGGGAAGGCACAAGCATGGAGACTGCTGTGACGTCAACCCGCAGTGAACTCTTCGCAGGACACGTCCTGACCACTTACAAAACGGAGGACGACGACCAGATGACTGCAGAAAAACATAACACGGTAGCATTATAGTATTAGAATCACGGCTATACATGATGAACAGAAAGCCACGATAGTATGAGAAACGAGAACCTTGACAACCGGAAAGGCATGACATAGAAATATGTATTTCCGAATTCTGCCCTCGTCCTCCGGATCACATTAACCTACTTAGGTCGCCTGCATCCGATAATATCCAGATGGGTGCTTTCAGGATTCAACGGCGTGCACTCTTCGGCCGACCGACCAACAGCGTCCGTGGCCACGCGTTGACAACACAGGACAGGATGCGTTCAGCCGGCATCGATCGGTGTCCAGCGTTGTCGACGCGTGGCCAGCAACGCTGGTCGCTGAAGTCTGAAAGCGTCCGATGGCGGAAGTCGGAAATACTACTAGTTTCGATTACTACGCCATGGCACGTAGAGGGGATGCAGCACAACCAACTCCGTTCCAGTCAGCATTAAATCAACTACATGAGACGCCGACATGAAAGCCATGAACAATGACAAATGGCGAAGAAAAATTATAAAAAAAAGGAATATAATTAGTAGGAAAAAGGCTGTTCTCTGTAGATGCTCCGCACGAACAGAAAATAAAACACGGACCAGTTCTAAACTAACGTGCACAGACAATTTCACATAGACCTTAGAATTAGGTTCAAGGTCGTTTTAGTACATACCCTTTAGTCTTCCAATCGCACCAAATGCGCATAGAAGTCTGAAAAATCTGCAAGACAGATTTTAAAGTCTCGTGAATGTGTTCTACAGTAACCCGAAGACACTCAAGCGCCTCCAAACACCCGTCACATGTACGACGCAACAAAAAGAAACCTTTGGCGAGTGGTGGAGCATTATAGGGGTTACTGTAGCACACGTTCACGGGATGTTAAAATCTGACTTGCAAAAAACTAACACGAACACAACTGAAAGAAAAAAGCTAATGCTCATGCTAAGGAAATGAAAATAAAGGAAAAATTCCTGACATTTCAGCACAAAACCTTCCTAAGGGAATATATTAGAACTGACATGCAAAACAAAAAAACCAGATCAAAAGGTACCAGGACGCTCACATCACAAATTCAAGGGAACAACAGTTTTGAAGGGATGAGGATCTGAACTGGAAGAATATAAAGGTCTACAAAAAAATGTGAATGAATGCTTCAACAAAACCTGTTGTGACGTGTGACGACTACCATCCCAGCATGTTGAAAACATGCTACATCCCTGATTTGGAAGAAGGACAAGATGAAAAAAATACGAAAGGATGGGAATCGACACAACCAAATGGAATAGGGTGAGTGACTATGACCTCAGAAATCGCTTTAGGAATCGACATCATTGATGTAAAGAGCCAGTGAAGAATGGATGCCGAGTTCCCTGAACGTTTTTGGTTCCACAAATGGAGGTGTCTCCAGCCCCAACGATTGACGGTGATCAGAGAGTATTTCATAATATCTATACAACCGCCATTATGCTACGAAAAAAACCATTCAAAAATAAGCTCAGAACTTGAAGAAACAAACCTCCGAGGGCAAAAATCGAGTCTAACGCGAGGAAACCCATAGTGAGCCTCGAAAAAATTAGGGCAATTTGGCTTCGCAAAAATAACCTCAAAGAGTTTCTGAAAAGCAATAGATAAGTGTGATGTTTTGCGGAAAGTATCTGCCTAAAATTTCACAGCACACCAGGTTACTCCCGTGATTTTGTGGAAGCTTTCCTTGAAAACGTTGGTGGGGCATGAGGAGGTTACTATTAGAGGACACCACGCATAGAATTCGAGGAGACTCAAATATCGCAAAGTTCCGGATCAAGTTTCATCTTTGACTTTTTTGTATTAAGCTATTAAGCGCTCGATGGAGGGGGCACAAGACCGTTCAGAAGCGGGTTCAAGGGAAAACACTTGACATAAGTTTCAATGGGGTTGGGCAGCGAGATGGTAAAATTGGAACTCGTAAAGAAGTACATGTTGAATATGTGTATACCGTTTGATTAGGACATGATTGGATAATCAAGGAAGAGGTAGCCGTTTAAACTATACGTACACCTTTAGGTAGTATTTTCACACTGAAACCCTATGAAAACCTCCAGAAAATGCTGTGAGGAATACGGACTGTTGCAATACTTTCGGCAGATACTTCCCTCACAAGGTGATATAAACCAGTTACAGTTATATGTTATAAAACAGAAAAAACAATGACTGACCATAGTGTTATCATCTGGTGCAAATTTGTGCTGACTCGTCTCTCCTGAAGGGTAACGCACAATAACTCGAATTGAATCCGCTTGGTCACAGTTATCTGATACATGATTTGCGGATAACTCCTCGCGCAACTCGCGCAGGCCCTAAACAAGTAACTTGTCATTATACCAATGAAAACAGAACTCGATAAAGCTTCCAAGAATAAAAGGCTGATTTCGATTCCCAAGTTTCTTATTCAAAAAATTCAAGCCCTTAGAAATATGCAGAATGAAAACTGAGAACATTACAAGAGTAAACTCACTTGTAGGCGTGATTCTATCTTGTCTTGACGTTCCTTCTCCTCCTGTTGCTGTTTCTGCATCTCCTCCTCCTTTTGCTGTTGCTGACGACGGCGTTCAGCCATCATGGCCCTGTCGCGCTCCTCACTTTCGCGATACTCCCTTTCTTGTTGCTCCATCAGCTGTCGATTTTCCCGAAGCACTCGTCTGAACGAATAACTTCGTAAGGGAAGAAATCTAAGGTATTCCGAATTCAAAAAGACTTCACGTAACAGCAGTATATTATCTTACCTTCTAAATTCTTCCTCCTCGCGTTGTTCCATTTCTTCCAAGGCACACTGACGCAGAAGGGGCCAGATCTGGCGAGCGTCCATGGGCATTTCGATACGCATCAGCTAAAGGGTTCCATAGATTGTGGAATGAAGGTCACCTACTTCAAAACTGAAAATGTAAGTGATGAAACTGACCATACTGTGATCACGGGTAGATAACGCCGCAAAAGCGGGAAATGTCGATAGCCGTAACTTGTATGAAGCTATAATGTTTACTCTATTAAGTTTCTGGGCAGAAAACAACACAATGAAAATTACGATACCATCTTTTCCAGCAGATGATCGTGGATCGGCACCCCAAAGTACAACGTTGAAATTCTGCATAGTCTCAATGAAATCGTTATCCGTCAACACGTCTCGCACCATTTCCTCTGAGTACTAAAGGTTTAAAGAATATTTAGTTGATGAAATTTTCAAAAGTAACTTTTAAAAGGCATACACGTGATCCTGGAGTGAATAGGTAGGCAGCAAATACGGTATTTGCGTCTGCGGCAGCCAAGAATGCCTGAAATTTGGAAGATGATATGAAGCCAACATAATTCCAGTGAAAAAGGGCTTTTCAATAGAGATGATGACTTCGCGTGGCTGCCTGGTATGATGCATAGGCCTTCCTCATCGATCCGTCAGAACTCTACTCTGTGACCAATCCACCATTGAAATGGTCATTAATTCCAATTTTATGAACCTTTTTTGTTCTGCTTTGTGAATTACATCCATATAAACAGGCGATACTTAAAACCACCTCTTCAAAACACAATATAAAGCTCTTGATGTGAGTAGAACCGCGAATGAATCGCGCGCGGCGAATGTTACAAAAGCGCGGGAAATACTCTGAGCATGCACCCTCATTTGATGAAATTCGCCACACAAACATGATCTGCGCGACTCTTTTAAAATTCTAAACCACGCCCTCATCCAAGTCATACCCTAACGATAGCTCCCTCCACTCGTAGTGGCTCTAAGGGTGGTGGTAACATAACTCTGCTAGGCAAACAGTCACAATCAAAGAATCATTTAACAAACAATCAGGCAATCTCGCTTTTAGGATGTCACAATTCTATTATTTCTATTGAATCAACTTTTCGCTCGATTCAAAACATGATTTATGCTGAAAGTTGGAAAACAAACCTCATCAAAGGTCCCATCGTAAAACTCAACTCTGGTCGGACCATATATTTCAAGCACAGCACTCCTAAAGTTGGCTACATCCTGTCGAAAATCAGCAATTGCTGGCAGTCGTTCTCCAATGACCAAATCATCTGAAAACCAGATATAAAGGAGCCCACAAGAAGTCATAACAAGTAAATCTGTATGGCAACAGCGCTGACCCATCTTTGCGAGTATCGTCAATGGTCAAAATGGTTTATCACTCAGGGGTAACCAAAAAAAGAAAAATACTTAGTGATATTCAGATTGGTTATCAAAATTGGGAAGAGAAAACTGGTCTTTCAACCTTATTTTGGACCTTGTTCCAGACCAAATTCAACTTATGGAGAAACACATGAAGGTTAAACTTAAACCTCCTGGCATCAAAACTATCCTGTCCATCGCCCCAGTAGTAACATTTTCAAGTTTCAGGCCATCCGATATTATCGCCTAATTATATTTAATACTGTCAGGGTAAACCATACGCGACTGTGTGCCGTTAGGTCAGAGAGGGAAATTTCCACGCGCGCTCCGAGTAGCACTTAATGCTTTCATAAATGTTACAATGATTCATTTTTCCGCAAAGGCCGAATATAACCGTCACCACGAAGAGGTACTGACAAACAAACCCTTCCCAAATACTTAAAAATCTATCACAAAAATTTAGAACACGATCTGATAGGATCTAACGAAGACAGAAAGCTTTTTGGAAAGCTCAGAACTTTGCGATTATTAAAAGTTTTCATGTAAAACCCAGTGTGAAAAATCCAATGCATTTGAAAGCAAAATGCCTCCCACTACCTAGGAGCTATTGGCCTTTTCAACTGATTCTTCATCAAGTAAAATTGGAAGTAAACAAAAGCTCAGCGCAGTTTTTTTTTNTTTTTTTTTGTGAAGGGACAGTTTCAAACAGCCTAAATGACTTCAGAAATGAAAAAAAAAACAACTAGTTCCCAAGGAAATACAGAAACTTTACAAACAGAAACAGATTGATTAACTTACAAAAGAACTTGAGTACGTCGAAAATTGTAGAAATTACAAAATTGAATGGCAGTGTGATAAGGGCAACGAGGAACTGACGCCATGGTTGTACAACTGACCAACTAGAAGCAGAGGATCTAAAAAAGATAATAAAACCATCTAGAAGAAGCCTGAAAGGATTCTAACTATCCAAAATAGTCGTAGACATGAACTACTATAAATTATCATTATAAACTATAAATTATCATAGACAGACCTGTGATTAACTACGGCATTTTGTGAACGGCGACTATGCGCAGAAGATTCGGCATGGTCCCTGAACGAAGGGTCTGAACTGTTTCGCCTACGGCGTATCTCTGGTACCTCTACGAATTCATCATCTTCTTGTTCTTCATTTAGTACACCGTCAGTCTAAAAAAAAATTTCTGCTTGTAAATCAGTTGAAGGAAAGAAATATTGACGAGGTAAAAAAAACTGAAAATTCGTGACCATTCTAAAAAAAAATACCTGGAAATATAATTGGACGGCCGCTTGTAAATCACCATGACAATGTGTCAAATACCGTACAGCAATATCGTTCTCAGTAACACCACAAAATTCCTTAAATTTTGGCTTTTTAACTAGTAATACTCCTTGTTCAGTAATCATCAAGGAAATCCGTTTATACTACCTTAAAACTGGCAAGGTTTTCTTCAGAAATATCCATATTATCCTAATTTTTACTTCTCTCAGCCTGTGGACTGGCTAAAAAATCACAAAATTTCCAGCGACAAAATCCTCATATGGAAAAAAACGTGCACACAAAAAGTTCAAGGCTGATCGATGGACGGACGGCATCCCAAACATCAACAAATAACAAATTTGAAAAAGATTATTGGAAAATAAAGAACAAACTCGGAATTGTGTTCTTTCATGTTAGCCGAAAAAACGTACTGATTGAACAACGCTGATGTAATTTGCATAAAAAGAAATCCGAACCTAACGACGACCTAAGAATCTGAACTACTACCCTTACATTTAGATAACAATAGTAAGAGTAAACCATGAATAAGCAAATGATTGGAGATCACAATTACATATGTAATAGCCATTTTATTAATGACCGCACAAACAAGCAACCACACTCCTGAATCATGAAGGAAATCAGCTCCAGCGCTAATCGAATACATGCACAATTATTGACGATTATATGCGATAATTTTAGATAAGCCATCTGAAGAATTTTGTATCAAGTTTATTAATAGTTTGAAATAAAAATTTTATTAGTCAAAAGCTGGTGCTGTTAAAGCTTCTGGGCTTACTTAAACAAACTCAGTAAAAAGCCTTAACATAAAGTAATGTACGCGTCCCGCGCGGATTACCTGCAACTGTAATGGCTAGGTTCTGATATCTTGGCTCGTCGCTTCATTTTTCTTTGTTTTCATTGTTTGGTTAGAGTACAACTTCAAGCAGAATTATAATTTGTATTTGGATTGTTTCTTTTTCATCACAACATTCAGATTTCATCCATTAGAACCCAGATTTTTTTACTTTTAGGGCTGGAGGCATGAGGTCAGAGGGTGGGAACTGGTTCGGTCTGCGTTCTGATATTTACTATTTACTTGTTCAAGAAACCCTGATAACCTTATTAGTGCTGCAATTTTTACATTTTCACAGCCATTCGGATCTATTGCCGTGCTTTTTGCAATTTATTAGACCATCCTGAATTCTATCGTTTGAATCAGTCTTCGACAAATACCTGGCCATTATTTCTACAATTTTCTTTATCCTGTTACTTTGCAATAAGCCAAGCAGGCTGG